GGAAAGGAAGGAAGGGACACCCCCCTCCCCCGGGCCTGGCGTTGAAGAGGCTTGGTCGGGCAGGGCGTCCTCAGCAGGGGGGCTCCGGAGGTGGCCGTAGGACCTCTTGATTGCAGCTGGGCAACAGTCCCGGTAAAAGTGGAGCCGCGCCCCCCCCCCTCAGGGGCACACCTCGGGGGTCCCGTCCGTTCCCGCCCCCCGGGGGGGGTGTCTGCAGGCCAGCCCCCGGGCACCCCTGCTGCACCCACGTCGTTATCGCAGGTTAGCTTTTCCACCAAAGGCTTCTTCCTTTAGGGGGGGGCTTTGCCCCCAAAGGCCACGGATAAGTATTTCAAGGAAGCAGGCAAATCCTAAAGCATCCTGGCCAGAGGGAGAGGCCGTTGCCAGAGGGCTGAAGGGGCCGCCAAAGAGGACCTCTCGGCCACGAGGCAGGGCGTGATAATAAGCGCCAGGCCCAGGCCCTTCCGGCAGAGAGGTGTGTGGCTTGGGTGCAAACACAACAGGCAGCCCTGGCTCAGAGTAAGACGCCCTGCGCCGGGCGGTGGAGCCTCTCTGCGGCCCCAGCCTCCTCTTCCTCTTCTCCTTCCGACGCCTAGCCTCCATTTCGCACCACAACACGGCGTTTCCCCCCTGCAGCCAAATGGGGAGTTCCCCAGCTGCCCTCCGTTTTCCTGCGGGTGTGGGTGTGGGTGTGGGTGTGGGTGTGTAGACTCTCAGAAGGGACTAATCAATGGCAGCTGCTGGGCTGATGCTCAGGCTCCTGACGCGCCACAGGCAGGGCTCAGGGAAGGGTCTTCTTTCGGCGTCACCATTGCCCTCCTCATCAACGGCAGGACCCGTGTTATTCCAGAGAGAGGGCTGCGTGCCCGGTGGGTGAGGCCACGGAAGGCTCTGTAGAGAGCCAGGCCCTCCCAGGCTGCCATGTCAAGAAGAAGCCAAGCTTTCTTGGGAGCAGAGAGCCCGTCCAATGTAAACAGGGACCGCGGAGGTGTATACATTTCCCAGGTTGCTATGGAGGCCGGAGACTAGTCCATGATTATTCGGGGCCTGCCTGGGAGATGGGTGAGCCTGGCTTGCCAGCGTTGCTGGTGAACGTTGGGATTTATATTCAACATGGAAGGGGGAAGCTAATCCTTTCCATCAGTCACTGTTGGGGATGGATTTGCTGGGTCTTGAGTTGAACTGCAGGGAGGCGGGGGGGCCGGGGGGGGCCTTCATCTCAGCCCCTCTCCCTCCCCCCCCCGTCTGCAGGCTCGCTCAGTCCAGCTCAGGCGGGCTGCTCTTTTCAGGTGCTTCCAGGTAAGGCGTTTAATGTGCCGCCTGCCCTCCCTCATGCCTGGGATTTTAGGCAAAGCCAAACGTGTCCCTTCTCCCCACACACAGACACACACGCATGGCTTGTAACGCTTGGTGGGTGTTGAAACCCCTTGAGGAGCCAAGGGCAGAACAGCTGCTTCGTGTGTCAGCTGAGTGGGAGCCCTCCCCAGAAATACCCCAAGCCTGGCCAGGCCCCCGTTTTTATGCCCTCGGTCCTCACGGCTGCCTTTTATACCTAGAGGTTATGGATCCAGGAGTGGGATGAACCGTGGGCACTCCCTTGGGGCGCCAGGGAGGGAGGGAGGGAGGGAGGGAGCGTTCTTCCTCGACCTGGGCTGAAGCGAGCCGGGCTCGGCGGTCACCTCTCTCAACCCTCCGTGTTCTCCTCTCCTGAGAGTGTTTTGGAGGAGCTACGGGGAAGGGAGAAAGGGGTGGCCGGTTACAAGACTCTGACCGCCGCCATGGGGGGGGGCTTCCTCACCACCGCGGTGCAAGGGGTTAGCGCCTGCCACCTGTGCTTCTCTGGCAGAGTGAACGGTGCCCTGGCAGAGCTGTGGGCGCCACCAGCCAAGGGGCCAGCTGCTTCCCGGGGGGGGCACTTCGCAAGGCAACCCTTTCCTAAGGTTGGGGTTCCCAGCAGAGTCGGTCAGAGTTTAGGGCCCGCCCTCAGGTCCAGCTCCTACGAAAGCTTCTCCTTTGCCAAGGAGACAAAGAATTTGGAAGGGTCCCAATGAAACTGCACTTATCTCTTGGTTGCTGAGAGGAGAACATGGGGAGAAAGCCGAGGAGACCTCCCTTGGCTTTTGCAGAACTGCCTCGTTCCAAGGGCGGCTCGGGAGGAGCCCTTGCCCGCTCATAGCCTGGTACGCCGCTGCTCGTTTATCATTGTGCTGAAATGGAATCCCCTCTGGCAGAAAACAGCAGAGCCATGTTTACTTAAGAGGAGTCCTGTCAGCTCTGCGACTGGTGGGAGCGAGCTGCCCAGGGGGGCTTGGCACAGCACTGGAGCCCACGCCACGGTGCAGCTCCCACACACCTGGAGGGGCCGGGGGGCCAGTTCTGTCGCTCCTTCCTTGGAAAGCAGCTTCGTTGCAAAACAAGTCAGGTATGGAAGTTCCTAGTTAGACCGCGGTGGTCATAGGGGTCCAGGGAAGAGGCCGCTGGCCTGGCCTGGCCTTGGCCCGTTTAGGCTGAGCCCACGAGTGGGAGATCTGGGGAAGATACTCACCAGGTAGATACCCTCTCCAGTGCCAGTTCCCACACTGAGTAAAATATTCTGTGATGCATGTGAACGCTTCTCAGCATGCGTGCATGCACACAGCCATGTGATCACACGTGTCTTCTGTGAAATATATATATCCACCCACTGTGTAAAAGGCATGAAAGGCCAGGGCCGCCAGGGCAGCTTCTGCATTGCTTTGTTCCTAAACGTAGCTTGAAGGTGGTTCCCTCCAGTCTTTGAAATACTTCCAACAGTTTTACGTGGCCAGCAGGGTCTCGGCCCGCCACCTGGCAGGAGATGGTCCAGGAGAAGACATCTGCACCAGCAGACCCTCCTTTTCCGCACCATAATTGGTGACCCAAAAGTTCCACGTTTGCAATGTTGCTCATCCAATGTTGCTCGTCTTTGTCAGAGATCAGGAGTCAGGGTCAACAGAAAGTAAATCAGGACCTCCCGACAGGCATTTGAGTGGCTTGCAGGTTTTGTGACTCCCCCTTGTGAATAACAACAACAGCAACAAGAATTCCCTCTTCTGAACTTGTCTGTTGGGATGGAAGAAAGCTAGGGCGAGTGGGAAGGACCAGAGGTCCAAAAAGATGGGGGGGGCTTAGTTCTGGTCCTGAAAATGAATTGTGAACTATGAACGTGTCCTAAGACCCCCCCTTTTTAAAAAAAAAAATCTTATTGTACATCTGTGGCACAGCTTTGCACCTGGATCTGGTTGGTGGCTCTGTGGAGGGGAAGGCTCACAAGCCTGGCCCCCACCACCACCTGCAGTCAATGGGGCTGTGGTCGGCAGCTATTTTTTCCCCCCATCAGAATGCATTACAGCAGGATTTTTAAGAACCCTTTGTTAAGGAAGATCCATGGGACTCCTAGAAATCTCTGCCTCTCCTTTTATTATTATTATTATTGTTGTTGTTGTTGTTGTTGTTGTTGTTATTATGCAAGCTCTGCAGCCCCTGACCCGCTCCTGCCTCTCTCTGCTCCCTCCTGTGCCTGCTGTCAAACTTGAAAGTTTTGTTTTCTTTCATAGCTGGGCCGTCTGCTTCACATCATGGGCTTGTGTAGAGGATTTCTTACTCTTCCCAGTTCCCCGTGGATTTGTGACCTGTTTGTGCCACTCTAAGATAATCATATGGCATGGGGAGCTGTCCCTGAGCACCACGACCCTTCGGTGTAAGCCTCTTTGGACAGTGTCAATCAAGCCTAACCCTTCCTTTGGTCTTTCAGGGTCTCTTGTAAGAGGAGAACAGGATGGCCACTCAGGCCTCTCTCTCAAGGGCACCTGTGGCCATTGTAATGGGAAGAAGATGCGTAAAGGTAGGATTCAGTTGTTTTCCTATTTTTTTTAATTTGAAATTTTGAAGCAATTTAGAGCAAATGCCCATGAACATTGATCACAAACACAGAACACATGTTCTCAGTGATACAGCTTTTGATCACCATAGAGAGGAATTTCCAAAGAGGGTTTTGTGCACTTCCAGATTTTGAGCAAACTACTTCCGGTCTCACCCTTTCCATCAGGCACTGCGTGGTGCTGTGCGTCCACCCGTGATGTCAGGCCGAGACTGGCGCTGAGCCACTTGCCTTTTCCCCTCTCGGCTACCCAGGATAATGTCTACAGCCCTGGAGAATGGCTCGAGGGTGCCTCTCTTTCGCTCCCCAGGATTCTACATCTTCCCATGGTCCCCTGCTGAATACAGGGAGGCCCAGGTCTCTGTCTTGTGCGCACGTGTGCAGGAGAATGAATTGGTCTGCCTGGCCACGTCCTTACTGGGAGCGCCGATCTGGTTCCATAAAGCTTTCGTAGACAACAGCAGGAACGGAGATTTGCCGCCTCAGAGGGGCGGAGGCTCAGCTACTGAGGCGTGGTGGCGGGCAGCTCTGTCCCCCGGGGCTGCTCTTTCCTTCTCTTGATCCCGGGGCGGCTTTCTTTGGCCTCTTTCTGGCGTCTCTCCTCCTCATTCATAGGCTCTCTCTTGCCTTGGTCCTCTTTCTTCTTTTTCCGTCCTGTAACTAAACATAAGATGAGCCATGAGGCAGGGGGCCAACTTGCCTGCGGGTTGAGTTTAGCAAGATGAGAATTCCCGAGAGGGTCTGGAATGGCTCAACGCCCTCTCTCAAGGGTGAGAGCTCAGGGTGGCCAGGAAGCGGGGGCGCCTCTTCCCTAGTGCAACGTTCTCTATAAATGGCACACTTGCGCGTTCCTAGTCTTAATCCAGCCCAGTGTGTCTTCAGGGCCAAAGAGGTTGCCTCACCCGGCCCTTGAGAGGCAAGGAAGGATCTGGAGGAGGCCGCCGGGCTCCAGGAGTGGCCTCTGGGTGTGATGGGGACCGCAGAGCCCGAGGCCTTTTGGACACAGACCTCCACGCCGGGTGAGTGGCCTATGCCAGTTTCACCAGCCCGGCTGTGAGGGGCTGGGGGGGGAGATGCCGAGAGCGC